AGAGAGGCGGCTCGGCAGGGAAGGAATGGGAAATCGTAAAGGATGAATTTTTGGCGAAACGAAGGGCCAAATAGTGCAAGTGATTCTCTGAGCCGGTCTGGATTTCCAAGGCCTCGGGAAACTGGTCGAGATAGATGACAGCACCTTTTTCCCCTCTTCCTTACCGGGAGGGCAATCTTCTCTTATGGCCTTCACCTCCCGCCCGGCCCGGAAATAGAGAACCAAGCCCCCTTCTGATCCATTCATTTCTGCAAGCAGGGAGGATCCAGAGCTAAGCCCCCTCCTATTCGAGGCCGGATGGCCTCGCCCCACAAGCACCCAACCTTCCTTTTGCTCTTTATTCGGTTTGCCTCCACGAACGCGCCACGTCCGGAGCCCTACTCATATTCCAAAGGCGACCAGCTTTCAATACTAGTTGTTACCCTTTTTTCCTATATTATTGAATAGCATGGCCTGGGGCTAAGATAACTCAAGTGGGAGAGCCGTGTTATGGGTGACCTTATTGCACGGTTCAGAGAGCACTTGTGTATGTGATGCAAGTGAACGTGTACGAAAAAGCTGTCGTAAAGTTTCGTTGTTCGTTCCGTCGTCGACCCTATCTATGTTTCTATGATGGCCCAAGAACACGCTCATTCTTCAGCCGTAGAGAGACTTTTGAATTGCGAGGTACCATTACGAGCTCAATATATACGAGTGTTATTCCGTGAAATAACTCGAATTTCAAATCATTCACTTGCTTTAACTACTCATGCTATGGATGTGGGAGCATCAACTCCGTTCCTGTGGGCTTTTGAGGAGCGGGAGAAATTGTTGGAATTCTATGAAAGAGTCTCGGGAGCCAGGATGCATGCCAGTTTCATACGACCAGGTGGAGTGGCACAAGATCTTCCTCTTGGCTTATGTAGAGATATTGATTCCTTCACACAACAATTTGCTTCTCGTATCGACGAATTAGAAGAGATGTCAACCGGCAACCGTATCTGGAAACAACGATTAGTGGATATTGGTACTGTCACTGCACAGCAAGCAAAGGATTGGGGATTCAGTGGTGTAATGTTAAGAGGTTCAGGGGTATGCTGGGATTTGCGAAAAGCAGCACCTTACGATGTTCATGACCAATTGGATCCTGACGTACCAGTAGGTACCAGAGGAGATCGCTATGATCGTTACTGTATTCGTATCGAAGAGATGCGACAAAGTGTTCGGATCATTGTGCAATGTCTTAATCAAATGCCTAGTGGCATGATCAAATCCGATGATCGTAAGCTGTGTCCTCCATCACGATCTCGAATGAAACTATCCATGGAATCGTGCGCCGTGTGAAACGTAGATCATCGCCGTTCTTAACCGAGACTCAGGTTAAGCTCCGTCTCGGAACCTTGTGGGGTTAGGAGTAAAGCATCCCGAGGTTGGCGCATCTCGTTAAGCGTGGAGAAGCATTGGGAACCCCAATTTATTTCTTCGGAGCCGTTTCTTTTCCCGTCCCCCCCGCCCCGGCATAGCGTTTCGCTTCCGGTTCTTCGGAATAATAAACTGACGTCTCCCTTCTTCATCGATCTGGGGGAAAAGGAACCGTCTACCAGTTGGGAAGCTAGACATCAAGTAAGTGGCTTGATGAGGATAACTAAGCTGACACGCCGGAATTGGCTGCTGGCACAACAGGGTGGTGCCTTACCGCACCGCAGGCGGACGCGCGGTAGCGTTCGTGGTGGTGCTTCAGGATTCCAATGTACTGCGCCCAAGATCAGAACGAGCTTGCCGGCGGACCACTGCCGTCCCATTCTTGAGTGAGCTGGAGCGCAGCCATCTTATCCACTGAACTAGCTAGAAGCTATCGCTTCGGGTCGAAGCACTAAAAGAAAAGGACCGGGAAACGCGGCGGCATAGGAACCACGGGACCCCCTACTAGTAAAGGGAAAACGGAAGTGCGCTCCTGCGCACCAGCTGAAAAAGCCCTTTCCCTTATTCATAATAATAACCCACGGGGCGGTAAGCTTTATAGCTCCAACCTAGTAAAGGGGCTTTGATGCCCTTTGTATAGGTTGGGTTGCTGGATACGGGATTCTCATAGTAGGCTGGACCAAGATCCAGCCGAGAGAGGGCAGTCTTTAGAAACAACAGGTTGGGAAAGCAAGAGAACACTTGGCGTTTTCTTATCTTCTTCCCGCCCTAGGAGTAGCACAAAAAGAGGGATTAGCATTATTGACCCAATGATAAACCACTAACACCTTCCTCGTTGGGGCTCCGCGCACTGGGAAAACGCTCTAGCGACGGCACTAGTTACAAAGCTACAATAAGGTATCGAGAGGGCTATCACAGTCAGGTGCGAACAAATTACCCCTATTTAGGGCGAAAAATGGTTTGATGAACCCGGCCCCATTCACTTGCTTATCGTATAGGCTGTAAGTACACAGTGCCCCACAAGTAGGATGCTTTTTCCAGAACGCAGTCCGAGATAACCGTAACCGTGTATATATATACATATATATTCGATGCTGTCATTTCGAAATGTCCGCTTCAACCGCTGTTTCACCCCCCAAAGAGCAAAGTTGGCTTGATGAGCACAGATGAGGAAGCGGGAGCAATAAAAAAATCATATATTTCTTGTCTAAAGAAACTATTTAGAAATGGGGCAAAGAGAAGCGCTTTTGCTACTGAGAAAGCGAACAAGCAACGGATTGAGCTAGCGCCGAAGCCCTATGTGCGTGCTATAATGCTGAGCCAAGGACGCTCCGCCTTATCTATAGAAGCAGTAAACTGAGTTCTGAACGAATTAGCTCCTTGGTAATGGCTTAATCTATAGATAGAAAGCCCTATGATGGGAAACTACCACGTTAGGTTTGGAGAGAGATGGGACCGGTTATATAATAGGGGAAGCAGATGCAAGCTTTTTCTTTCCCGGCCAAATGACTACAGGATCATCAGTCTACTCTACCTCAATTCACCATTTCGAACTTTATACAGAAGGTTTTTCCGTACCAGCTTCTTCTACCTATACCGCAGTTGAAGCACCTAAAGGAGAATTTGGTGTCTTTCTGGTCAGTAATGGAAGCAATCGTCCCTACCGTCGTAAAATAAGAGCACCTGGCTCTGCCCATTCACAAGGACTCGATTCTATGTCCAAACATCACATGCCAGCAGATGTGGTCACCATCATAGGTACTCAAGATATTGTGTCTGGAGAGGTGGATAGATAGGACTACTAGTTGCTCGATCAGGACCCTAGCTTTATTGCGAGCCAAAAACCTTGATAGATTCCAACATACTCAGTTTGAACAGTCTCCACGTCTCGAAATGAATTCGGATTCGCTCAGTAAGCTAGTTATGGAGTAAATAAATCCGGATGAGACAAGACTAAAGCGTTCACTAGATGTTCAATCGATCGTGATATAATCCTGGTTACGAGGGGATCGCTCCATCCATAGGTAAGTAATTGTGTCATAGAGAGTCATTCGATCACTCGAGAGTACATTCAATGCTACGACCCATTTATCAGGAGCAATCGAAAAATCCATAATTCCTTAGACATATAAATAAAAAGATGGGCTTTTGCGTTCTAAATAGAAGTGAAGATTCAAGTTGGTTCAATGAGGGACTATTTGGCTTATTCTCGTTCTGCCTTATTCATTTATTTTTATCTTTTGCATTGGTTTTTTAACAACAGTGGCTTAGGGGGTAGGGATAGATGGTCTTCGCTTAGCTTTCGATTCCTTACAATCGCTGGACCGAATACTCCTTTTAAATAAACGTTCTCCTTGAATATTCGCTGTAGAAAGGCTTGCTGGCGGTGCGGATGAGGCAATCCCCTATGTTAGGAGCAATTCATGCGAGCTCTGTTTTAGCTAGTTTCTTTGCGGAGCCAGAGACCTGGTGGGGGTATGTGAAATATTTGGTACATGCCTTGGGCAGACTTTCTTATTCTATTTATTGACTTTGGAGAAATGGGATTCTCTTTAGTCCCTGCCAATCTCGGTGGGACTTATTTCTCTGATGGCCCCCTCATTTCGTCCTCCTGCTCGCTAGCAGTCGCCTTTGATTTGGAAGGGCGAAGTGTCTCAGCGCTGGACAGCACAACTACGATAAAAATAAATTGATCCCACCCCCACGGATGAAAACGAAGGTGCCTCAAGGTATACAGTTTGGTAAATAAAAGATCAGAAGGGCACCTAGTGAGCTCATATTTTGACTGGGAAACCTACTCTATTTGGTGAAACCAGAGAAAAGAGCAGGTAGCGAATGATCAAGCAATGAAATCCTCCTTTGTCGACCTGAAGCTGAAGTGAAGGAGGGAATGGAGCTGGAAATCATCCTGGCTTTTGTGAATCAGCGTCCTTACTTGATCCCATCTTTGTTAGAATAGACTCTGCTCAGGTTTGGAACCCGTTTTCGAAGCTGGCTTCAAAGCCCTTACTAGACTAGATAGGGATAGCGGCATATCGTACTCAATCTGTAACCTATAGCATCATTAGTTGAGCTAGCGGCAGATTCTTTAGCACTCGTGCTTTCATTATGGATGAACTAGCACGAGTAGCGGCTTCAGTAGCTTATCCGGGGTACCGAGGAGGCAAAGCACCAGTGGTAGCATCAGTACCGGCATAGCCTTTTTTTCCCATATCTTTGTTTCCGAGACAAAGTCGGAACAAATCCTTATCACATATGAAATGAAATGATTCTTTTTAGAAGTACTTTTTCAATCTCATATATAACATATAGGGCAAAAACTGACAAGAGGCGGAAGCAGGGTTGGTTGCATACCTGCTATAAGTGGGAAGCCCACATGCCTTACTTACTAAAAAAATAAAGTAGATCCCCCTAAAAAAGAATAAGTTGCCATGACCATGAAACGAAAGCTTTGCATTTATCAATATGGCAATCCAACACATCCAACTCGTTTTTCGCCCAGCGATTGGTTGGATATTTCCATTTCTCCATCTAGTTCCGCTTCTGAGGCGTCCACTGGGGTCCGAAATGAGCTGGCTTCCTCTTCTCCACAAGAGCTG